ACAAACTGGAATTCAGGTCGATTTCTAAATTTTCGTGTGCTATTGACCATACAATCTGCATGAATCTGGGCTACCAGGTTCGAATCGTATAAAATATTGTGGGGCCATCAATAATAACCTAATGAACAATAATTATAGCTTCGACATGACTGTTCCTCTTTTTTTGGCATGTTAGGACCAAAAAACTGTAATTCAAGACGGTTTTCAAATTTTCACGTGTTATAGTCCACGCTATCTACATGAATCCGGGCTACTGGATCCGAATGTCCTAAAAATTTGTGAGGACATTAAAAATGACCTAATGAACAATAGTCGTGACTTTGGCATGACCATTCCCCCTTTTTTGGCATTTCAAGGCCAAAACATTAGAATTCCGGCCGATTTTCAAATTTTCGTGTGCTATAGTCAATGCCATCTGCATGAATCCGGGCTACTGGATCTGAATCGGCTAAATTTTGCGGGGCCATAAAAAATAACCTAATGAACAATATTCTTGGCTTCATCATGATCGTTCTTCTTTTTTTTTTTGGCATTTTAGGGCCAAAAAAACTTGAATTCTGGCTGATTTCAAATTTTTCATGTGCTATCGTCCACGCCATCTGCATGAATCCGGGCTACGGATCCGAATCGCCTAAAATTTTGCGGGACCATAAAAAATGACTGAATGAACAATAGTCATGGCTTCAGCTTGACTGTTCCTCATTTTTTGGCCTACAACACTATATGCCTTTATAAGATGACTTTTAAGAAATACAACACTATATGCCTTTATTTATATTTTAATTGTGCTACAGAGGTAAATATAAATAAAGACTTATCAATTGGAGTCTAGCATAAAGCAAAATCACAACTAAATTTAAAATTAATACAGTGCATTAGATATTATTTTGGTCAAAACTCCTAAAATTAATCAATCATTCGAGAGTAACACAACATGAGTAAACTATATAAAAAGCTTTGTACAAATCATAAGTTAATATAGTTAAGCAGAGATACCTTTAAAAGTCCAACAAGAAGTTTTAATATATAAGGGAATATAATTTAGTAGAGTTTTTAGGGACATCGGATAGTTTAAGTAAATAACAAAAAGCAATAGTTTAGGCGGGTTTAGGCTGAGTAAAATTGTCACGTGTAGTGCTACGTGGCACATTTTTTTTAGACAATTAGGCGTGTGTACTAGACGTATCCTTAAGAATGCAATGAGAGGTTTTTAATATGAAGGGCAATATAGTTCGAGAGAGTTTTAGCGACACCAAATAGTTTAAGTAAGAAACTTATAAAAACGTGATAGTTTAGGGGAATTTTAGGTATTAACTCTTTTTAAAAACTAATATTGTTTTGCATTTACTTCATAACCTCCCAGATCTTATTTTTGCCAAGCTGAGCTGGATTACGTGTCAATAACTGATTCGTGATGTGATGTGGCCTCTTCCACATATAAATAAAGCTTTAAAGTCCAAATTACGAAACCAATTAAAAAAACAGGTCAAAATTTTTCTCTCATTTTCCTCCTTTCAGATCGGGAAGACTTTTCTCCTAATCTCAGCGTTCTAAAGGTAAATTTTTTGAATTAATATTTCCTTTTATTTTATGAAATTCTGTTCCTGCCTGCGGATTCAACTAGATTTATTCAGTCGTGTGTTAATTGTTGCTTGTGAAACTCAAATTTTTAGTAATTGATGATTAATACTATTAATTTAATAGAGATAATTGCTTTCGTATGTGGTGAGATCTGAAATCTGAAGGATCTCAGCTTCCTTTGAATTGTATTGATGTTTTATGATCTGATTGATGGCTATGACACTTGATCCTTACGGGTCGGGCTTTTGGCAGAACGTTATTACAACAAAAAATCTGATTTTTCAGAAATACGAACTCTGAAATTGTGCTCATGATTTGTAAATGGTAAAATGATTCTACCAAGCTGAAAGTTATGGCGGTAATGAGTGAGGAGTTAAATGTTAGATTAGTCTATTTTTCTCACTAATTTGTGTACGAGTAAGTTTAACTTATACCGCCCAAGGGCGGAGTTAAGTTGCAGAAAGAGGTTCAATTGAATCGCCTTCATAGAAAAATTATACTGTGTGAAAAGGGGAAAAATGAATAATTATATTTAAATTGTGGAATGCCCTTAATATAAGGAAAAATCTCGTAAAGTAGCAAACGGGTTCAAAAATTGCTTTAGGTCATAGATCAGATCCCGGGTGTGATATTGTAGTATTTTTATTTTTTTGCCAATCTCCTTATGTAAATTCCTGGTTGCAGAACTGCTTATAGCCATTACCCAAACATTTTGTGATGTTAATTTTCTGGAATCGTTGGTTAGTTAGCTTAATTGATGTATAAAAAGTATAAAAAGTACTTGCTTGAAGAACTAGAAGTTAGCAACCAAAGGTGGCTTAGCGGTCAGTGAAGTGGTGAAAACCTTGGGGACCCGGGCTCAAATCTCACAAAGATAAAAATATCAGGTGATTTCTTTCCATCCACCTTAGACTTGGTGGGCAGAGTTAACCAGTACCTATGTTGGTGGGAAGTAGCAAGTATTTGTGGGAAGAGTCGAGGTGTCGCAAGTTGACCTGGACACCATTGTAAAATAAAATAAATCTGGAAGCATTGTATTCGAGTTGTATCAGTCTTATAGAGGTAGTTAACAATTCTAGGCCGAAGGTGCAGTATTGCAGGTTGTAGGGGTGAAAATGATAAATAAATCATTCACCATTCTTTTGATATGTATGTTTTTCTTGCCTTGAAAATATATTCAATTGAACTCGTACTCAGTGGAGGATCGCAAGCTCCGCATTCTTGGCAAAGTAGTAACATATCAGAAGGATATATCAACATCATAGTTATAATATAATGTTACCTTTCTCAAAAAGACATCATAGTTGTAATATATTGTCAGAATGCCTGTATGACTGGATGCAGTAGGTACCGCGTTCCCTTTAGTCAATCTATTCTGCAATTATTTGACGTTTAGTTGTTGACTGTCTTTTATATGTTCACTGTGTTTGAGTACTTGCAATATGTTAGTGTGTGACAGATTTTCTCTGAATCGTTGTACTAAATTTTTTTAGTATTTTGAAACTGTGATTGGAAATGGCTTTGGGTGGAGGTGGACCACAAAGAGGGACTGCTGCAGCAGCTGCTGCTAACCTGCGTCGAAGGAAGACCGCTGGTGGTGGTGGAGCTGCAGGAGGAGCAGGTGGTAACATGCTCCAATTCTACACTGATGATTCCCCCGGACTCAAGATATCCCCCAACGTTGTGCTTGTGATGAGTATTGGCTTCATAGCTTTTGTTGCCATCCTTCATGTCATGGGTAAGCTTTACTTTGTCCGCAGAGAGGCCTAGAGAAATTCACATATCCCCTAGGAACTTCAGACATCTCATTACTGAGTTGGGGAATTTTGTTGGACAACAGCTATGTTCATTGAAGGAAAACTGACATTGTAGCTTTATTTTCTTTTTGTTCTTCTATGCTATGAAGTTTATAAAAACGTTTTCTAGTGATGAGTTGACTCTTTCTTGCCTGTGTTCCAGTGTCTGATGAATAGGATCGCGTTTAATTCTTGTTTCTTAAACCTTTAATGGAATCATGTTGCAAGTATAGCCTTAGAGAAATGATTTCGTTTTACTTGATGCATGATGCTGCTTGTGGGCTCTGCTTTATTATGACCTATGACTGTCCTCAGCTGTTATGGGTTCAGAATTGAACTGAGTTTAAGTTGCATCATTTCGTCAAAGATAATTGACAAGAGGTGAAGATTAAAGACAATTATGTTAAATGATCTCAAAAGAGTTGAAGGAGACGCTCAAACTTCATATTTAATTTAACTCCATGACCCTTTAGGGTCAATATTAAATCTCACACTTGAAGGGAGTCTTGGTGTAACTACCATGTGACCAGGAGGTCATGGGTTCGAACCATGAAAACAGCCTCTTGCAGAAATGCAGGCTAAGGTTGCGTACAATAGCCTCTGGCAGAAATGCACGCTAAGGTTGCGTACAATAGACCCTTGTGGTCCGTCCCTTTTTTGGACCCCCATGTAGCGGGAGCTTAGTGCACCGGGCTGTCGTTTATTAAATCTAACACTTGACCCTTTAGGATCAATATTAATTAAAGTTGAAAATGAAAGACAAGCAATTGAAATGTATAGTAAAAATAGCACGGTATAGCCAGTTTTCGGACTGGTCATTCAAAAATAGCCAGCGTTTACGAAGTCAATAAAAAATAGCCACTATTTTGCTGCAATAGAGGCCGGTCCAACATAATATAGTGGAGTTCGGTGCACCTGTGTATGAACTCCAGCATATTATGCTGGACTGGTATACTTTGCTGGACTGGTATACTTTGCTGACTCCAGTATAATATACTGGAGACTGGAGCACCGGTGCTCCAAACTCCAGTATATTATACTTGCTGGAACTCCAATATATTATGCTGGAGTTCTACTATACTTATGCTGGAATTCCATCATATTATGCTGGAGTTCCAGCATACTTATCCTGGAACTCCAGTATAATATGCTGAAGTTCAAGCACACTTATTGGAACTCCAGTATAATAACTGACGTATTTTTTGGGTTTTGAACAGTGTTTTCGCTTAGATTTATCTTTACATGAAAAGTGACTAAATTTCAATTACTTTTGAAACTGAGCTATTTTTGAACGACCAGTTATAAATATGGCTATTTTTGAATTTCTCCCGAATGTATATGGTACTAATTAAGCTGATTATTTAAGACGTATTAACAAATCATTACCAAATTCAGCTGCGTAGATTCAAACTCCAGGATCGCAATTTTAAGGTAATTCGCTAAATAATTGCAAGGTTGGTAAAAAATGGTACACGCAGTTTATAATACAACCAAAAGTTAGAAGCATCAAGTTTTAGAGATATCTAAATAACCTAAATAGCAATCTATAACTTCGGTTTGGAACTTAATACACATGCTGCACTAATAACAAACTCCACGATTGGAATTTTAAAGTAATGGGACTTATTTCTGGTTCACTTCTCAAATAAACCAAGGCACACTGCATAGACAAAAATAACGCATTACATATACGATTAAACCTCTCTATAACAGTCTCGTTTGTTCCGAATGTTTTTGGATGTAATAGCGAAGTGCTATTATAGAGAATATATATTATCATAATCTGAAAATTGGTTCCGAAAAAACTTGGCTTTTATAGTGAAGTATTGTTATATAGGGATGCTCTTATAGAAAGATCTGACTATACTGCAAAGATCCGATCTTAGCACAGTCCATTCATACTCTATTAACACCTCCAAACACTTCCATGGAGCAGCAAAACATACTTGTTCAGAGACAAGAGTAGCCAAATATTACTGCATTGGCATAGGCGAAATTAGGTATAATAGAGAGAGCTTCAAGCTGAGCTCGGGGGAACTGTTGCTTCTTCAACACTTACTGTACTGTAGGCTCCTTGTTGTTCGAGGTTATAGGCTGATCAGCACCACCATCACCTTCCTCCTCAGACGAGAATTCCTCGACATCAGCTTCAGGAGGAAGAATCTACATTTCTAGGCCATAGGTTTTGAGGTCAAAAGTGGGGTCTTTAGCCTTGATTTTCTCTATCGCCAGCTTCATCCCTTTTCCCATGTAAGGAGCAGCATACTCCATGAGTTCTTGCCTATACAAGGAGGAAGCCTTGTATTTCTGGATAGCAGCACGACCGGCCTCCTCCAACTCCTTTTTCAGCTCGACCATCTTCTGGTGAAGGATTGTTTGGACCCGCAAAAGGGAATCCTTCTCACTAGTTAGAGTAGTGATCGTGTTCGCAGCCCCAGCTAACTCATGTTCTAGCTTCTCCTTCTCCTTCTCATAGTCCTCGAGCTTCTGATTGGATTCTGCCAGCTTATCTTTCAAAGAAGCCCTCATCTTTTCCAGGTCATCACTCGCTTTTGCTGCTTCATTGTACTTGGCTGTGGCTTCTTGAAGGCGTTTAGACTGAAGACAAAAATAGTTGATACCCTATAAAAAGGGGGGAAAAGAGGTCAAGAAAGATAACAGAAGAGAAAAGAAACAAAGGTGAAAGGAGAGGGTAACTTAATCAAGAAAAAAGAGAAACTGACCTCATAGAAGTGACGAAGCCCCTCTTCAATGACTTCTTGATCCGTCTTCTTATTCGCGACAACCCGTTCCCACATCTCAATTGTTGAGTGCAGAAGATCAACGGGTTGAATGTCAGGCTTCATCTCCTCAGCAAGCTGCAAGCTAGGGAGCACTGAGCTGCCTGATAATGGAGCTGAAAGAGTGGAGGTCGAAGGAGCACCAGTCATGGGAACACTGCACGGCTTAGACTCTCCATATATCTGTTCAGCAGTAGCAGCAGATGTATGAGCAGCATCATTGACGGACTTACTTGAGCTTGTAGTTTCAAACCCCATGGCTCCAAAGGCACAAGGCTGAGCGGCTGAATCATGTCTTTTATTTTGCCCTCTGCCTTGAGCTTGTCTAGTAGCTCGGCAGGACAGAAACTTCTCACATTGGCAACCTCGTCCTGCTCGGACGAACAACTAGCAGGGACAGTTACTGCAAATAAACAGAAAAAAGGTCAGCAACATAAAAGGTTGAAAAGTAATAATTTCAAGATTCACTCCAGCCAGCTCATATAGATAGGCCACTCCCCAAGTAGTGGACAAAACAAAAAAATTCCTTACTAGCTGTGAAAACCAAGTAAGATTATTGGATGGCACTTGAGTTTACAATATTCTTCTACAAGCTCTTGAGTTTACAATAACCAACCAAGATAATTTGAAAAGTCACTTGGCGAATAAACTCGAAAAAGACGCTGTACTTCACACCTATGATCCTACAGAAAATTCTAAGAGAAAATTACCTGCATTGCAAAATTCGGGGGAATAGAAATGTCATACTAATACTCAAGTAGCTCAACAGCTTAGAGATGAAAAAGAAAAACCGAGGGTGAGCTAAAGGTATTGAGGTAAGCTACACATTATTTTCACAAGCTCTGTTAGCACTATCATCAAGCATAGCTTGCTTACGGGTAATACTTTCCCACGAAGGAAAATAGACCTCTAGTTTTCTTCAAAATTCAGAACCCAAGAATACATACGAGAAGTTTGTCATGTCCTATTCCAAGGTTAACCAAATCAAACAAGATTTTCTTATAAGGGGGAAATTAGGTATCTACCACATGGGGCAAATACTTTCAAATTCTGAGTCCGGCTGTGGAGTTCAAAGATAATATTCTACGTAGGAAAAGAATGATGTCATCTTGTAACCGCCTGAGAATACACATGAAGCAAATAAAAAAATGAAGAGGCATACTTATCGGAAGCCAAGACAACGGAGACGCATACAGGTGATGGAACGATATAAAACACGTAATGTAGCAAAGGAATGAGTAAAGGCAATAAAGCTGAGAACTGCAGAATTGAACACTGAAGCTTACCTTAGCTGATAGAATATGGCAGACTAGAAAAGTAGAAGGCAGAAAAACCAAACATATTGAAGGATAGCAACAAAACACACGAGGGAGCTGGTAGTTGCATGCACAAAGACAGAACTCCCTCAGAACAGCCAAGGGAAATGAAGGATGCAGAATGCATGTGCTCAATGTTTATGAAAGGGCATGTGCAATGAGGAGAGGATTGCGTCACCAAAAAGGAAGCAACGTATCCTTTTATTTGCGAAAAAGGGTATGTGACAAATCATAATTAAATGAGCAGTGCCTTGACTTGCTTAACTTCCTAACTTTGAACAAATCCAAGCCACAGAGTTGGAGAAAATCTGATAGGATAATTGCTCGAGTAAGCTATCTCATATACAAGCCCAACTCAAAGATGGATAATAGGTCATGGATAACAAGCTACCAAATATCAACCAAGACGCAGTCACGCCAAGAGCCAGAGGGAAGGTCAAGCCGAAGGCAGTCCAGAGAACTGAATAGGGTGAACATTTAATACGCCTGCCACATCTTAGCAACTTGGAACTTAAGCCAAATCACCCATACACCACGACATCAAGTCACAGCCACATTACGGCATAAACATAATAACCAAAATAAGCGCGCGCACGGACGGGCAAGTCGATGAGAAAGCATTGAATGACATTCATTCACTGCAACCACCAAGAATCAGCACTATTACCTATGATCAATTAGATGGCAACACATAGCCTTGGGCGAAAAGTATGAATAACTATTAATACTGTCGCGTTCCTAATTTATGTGATACTCTTCCCTTTTTTCTAATCTGTCCCGAAACTAATGATACACTTCTATATATTGAGAAACAATGTAACTTTTAAGTTCTTATTTTACCCTTAACGAGTTGATCTACAAAATAGACACACAAATATCTACGAGCTAACCAACTATTTCCATCAAATCTACTTGATAGCATTAGCACATTCATTAACAGCTCTATTTCAACAAAGACATTAATGCATTGGGAAATAACCGCATTAATCAGAGCAGGAAATATAGCCGGCAAGGAGTAACAATAGTTTAGTTAATTACACTGAATCAAAGCAACATGAAATTTCAATTTCACTTCCTAACTTAGTTCGATTAAATTAATTTCTACTTCCTAAATTGCTTTCATTAAGACGGATTATTGCATTACAGAGATTAAACATTAGACATTAAAAAAAAGAAGAGACGAACAGAACTTTACCAGACTCCGTTGCAGAGACTGTTAGAGAAGTTGTGTTAGTGCTTGCTGTAGTCGGTCCTAAAGATGCAGAACTTTCTGTTGATGAGCTGGCATTTGAAAATGAAGAACCAAAATACGACGGCGTGGTAGAATCGCAAGTTTTTTCAGATAGCGAACTGACTGATGATGAAGGTGAAAGCTGTGGAGGAAAAGTACCGGCCGACGGTTGGAGAAATGTATCGCCGGAAACCGACGACGGAGAGGTGGATGAAAATCCAAACCTCATTCTGACATTGTTGCCGCGTCCGTCTCCGTTACTTGTTGCCCAAGGAAGTGAAAAGGGTGAATTTAGTAATATTACGAAAGAGCGAGTGGAGTGGACTGAGAATTGGACGGAAAATGACAACATTAGTTCCTTATGCATGAAGATTGGTCTATATATTTTATTTTTTAATATATATATTGTATGTTATATACAAAAAATATACAAATTTTTTTATATTTTTTCGGCTACGGAATTTAAATCGGAACCAAAATATGATTTTTTTGGACTCAAAGAACCAAAATGTGTGGGAAAAAAAACTGGTGACCAATATATATATAAAACCTTAGCCAAAGGCGCTATACCTTAACGGTTGTTTGCGTAATTAAGTATAGCACCCTTATATAAGGCGCTATGTATATAAAGCTCTAACGAAACGCTATATATATATATAT